AAGTTATTGAAATGAGTTAATTTATAAGTTATGAGGAATATGAGGAATAGGGCGTTTCTTATTTAGTAGGGATATTTCAGTGGTCCGTAAAATAACAACCTAGAACGGATGTGAAGTAATTGATTTTATAGAAATAAAGAAGGATGTAAAGGATTGGAAGATATTTGGCTGAAATTGGGTTTTATGGATAATAAAATATAATTTATTACACCTCATTAGTTTGTTTCTCTCTCTTGCAAATAGACCCTTCCACAGATTAGATAGCAGCTCAAAGTATATAATAACACCTTCAATATACCGCTCGCCATTTACCATCTAACTAATTAAATAGAGTACTTGGGGCGTTTTGCACACCAGTTTCCCAGCGGATACCGAGGTCCCATACGGGAAGCTACGCAGCTATAGTTGTTTTTGAGCCAATATCTCTAGATTGATTATTTCAATTTGTTAGGATATTCTCTCGTCAGGGTAGGAAAATGTTAGTAAATTCAACAAGGCTCTAATGCACGCTCTAAATCCACAAAATCAAAATCTGAGCACAAAAAGACAAAAGACAGCACATAATTTCTTAGGTTTACTCTCTATCCGTGTTGTTTACAGCATGAAACGATTTTGGTTAAATACATAAACAATGCACATGTTATAAAAAATTGTTATAAACAAACAAAAAAAACATAAAAATTGGGGAAAAAAAAATACTTGCGTAAATTGAACTCCCAAAAACAAAATAATAATTACAAGTGAGATGAAGACAGAGTCTCCATCTATTTTCTGATCGGCACACTAAAAATTGCAACCAACAACTGTATAAAACTAGTAGTACTTAGTTGGTTGCAATTTTTAGTGTGCCGATCAGAAAATAGATGGAGACTCTGTCTTCATCTCACTTGTATCAAACCCAGTTCCGGGACGGAACCAAAAATGGGTTGTGTTTTCTCTCTGCGGGACGTAACCGAGCTTATGAGCTGTGATACAGCGAAACGCGTCCACGGATGGTCTTGCATAGAGAAAACACTTCTCAATCGGTCCTTAATTGGGCCGTTACCTAATTAAAATAATAATTATTTAACTGACCTGGTGATCGCTCCTTGACACACACACTAATAACAAATTGGATTGAACAATTAATTTTAATGCAATATAGAGATGAAAATTGAATAATGAATAATTACAGACACGCGACACGTTTTCTAACGGAACCAGTCTAGCTTCTTCTGTAGTCTAATTGCCTATTCTCTTCTCTCCTCTTCGGTTTCGGTACTTTCGTTTTTCTGTGGCGCGCTCGTTCAATCCTAAACTTGAGGGCGCATACATGCTGATGGTTGCAACATTTAATTTTATTCAGTAAACATTTTTTTAAAAAGTTAAGATTTGTAGAAATAATATTTTAAATAGGTGGTTTTCCTCACTACTTTAATACCATATTGGCGCAGAAAATTTATTCCCAATAGTAAATCTACCCTTAACGAATCTGTATCAACCACAATAAAATTGTGTCTCACAACGATGTCTCCGTCGAACATCACAGGTATATTTGCCATACCTCTTACAGGAATTTTATTGTCCTGTATATCCACCAAATTTACATCACATTGTTCCTTTTTGAACTCCTTGGCAATCTCGGGCTTAACTAGGGATACTACAGCTCCAGAATCTATTAAGGCTAGGTACGACTTATCATTAACCCTAATCCTTAGTACATTACAACTTTCTGGGGTTCTCACCTTGGAGCATGTACATATTCCTACCCATTTCTCTTCATTTAATCGCAACTTGCCTCGTTGGCAGCCACGTCTCGGTTGATAGGGGGCTGCGTTCGAGTTTAAATAAGTCTGCCTATTTCCCGATTGCTGGGTAAAAGCGCTGACTTCCGTGCAGCAATTTTTAGCAAAATGCCCTTCCTTGTGGCATCTGAAACAAACAAGCGTACCTCTGTTACCTTGTCTGTTCACGTCCCTTAGTTTCGGACAATTTGGTCTTACGTGACCTTCCTGGTTGCAATTGTAGCACATCATTTTTCTAGCTTGCCACGTTTTTTGGTTCCAACGGTTCTGACGGCTTGGGCCTGCTGTCTTATTTTGATTCATAATTCCGGGGCATTCTCGACTGTGTGGCTTCAGAAAATTTTCGATTGATTCCTCCCTTTCCGCTATTTCTAATGCTTCATCCAAAGTGGCTGGATTTTCTGAGAGTACACGTTGTTTAATCGGCATCAACAATCCTAGGGTAGCAATGTCCCAGAGCAATTTCTCTTCCAACAATTTATCTGTTGCTGGATTTCCGGTGAATGTAGCGGTCCGGTGCCCCAATACCTTCAATCTAGTAAGGTACTGTCTACAAGCTTCGTTTTTTGCATTCAATGAAATGCTTCATAGCGGTCCTCTTCACATAATGCCTGCCAAACTGTGTTTTCAAACTGTCCTTGAGTAGAGCTCAGCTTGTTGGTCTTTCAGGGTTGACTCTCATTCTTTGTACGGCTTGGCTCGATATCTCAGTTTCAATAGGGCTACTGAAAATTTCTGTGTGTCTGTCCAGTCAGCTAAAATAATGGTTTCTTCTAGAACATTTAGAAATTCTTCAGCACTGGTAGTTCCATCATAGGTAGGTATGGAATCTAATCCTATAAACAGGTTAGGCATGGTGGTGTTGAATTGTGGTACAGGGCTCGGAGGGTTGGACATCTTTAACGTCGCTTGGTGGTTCCCAACTAATAAAATTAGAGTTTCTCTCAATTCAAAAATTATTTTTGTCCCTAACGATGCTCTCACAATACAATTACAATAACCTCACAGTTGCTCTCAATGTACAAATAATAGACCCCACACCTGACACCAATGTAGCAAAACGCCCCAACGCCCCTATGTAATTGGTTAGATGGTAAATGGCGAGCGGTATATTGATGGTGTTTATTTCCTTGGAGCGGCTACCTATAAAATTGTGGAAGGGCCTATTCGCAAAAGAGAGAAACAAACTATCGAGGTTTACTAAATTATATTTTATTATACATAAAACCAAAAATTTAAATCAGCAAAATATCTTTCAATTCTGACAGCCTCATCTATTTTTCTAAATTCAATTACTTCACATCCGTTCAAATGTCATTATTACGGACCAGGAAATATCCATACAAATAAAGAAACGCCTTATTCCTACTATTCCTAATAACTTATAAGTTTATTCATTTCAACACTTCCGATTCGTTCCTATTAAACTACCCTTCACCTATTTCTATAAATTCTTAAAAATTCCTGAGTCCTTTATCGACTGCTTATGCCAAATCAAAATAATTGTTTGTTTATTAATATAGGTATTACTAACTTATTCATAAAAAACCTTACAATAATTTCTACATGAAAAATAAAAACCCTAATTCAAAATTTCGGCACTCAAAATCATCAAAGTTTCTTCATGAACAACAAATTTCAAATAAATCTTCCAATACTTCTAATAATTATCGACAGCAATTTTATTTTATGAAGAACAACAAGTTTTTTTTCGAACTTCTATTTTATTTAATGGTTCATTTAATCAGAACAATTTCTATTTCCGGATTTCTAGCCAACAAATACAACTATTTATTTATTTATTTTATACTTATTAGTCCGTTACTATAGCCCTTAAACTTCGATTGGACAATCCAATTCAAAATTCTTTATTAATTCCTACTCGAAATCGATACTTGTTAAGTGCATTATAAATTTCTCTTTTAATTCTTTGCCAAATTAATTAAAATGTCATTATACTCGAAGGCAATTAAATTTATGCAATAATGTTCCATAGTCAAAACACTCGAATTATTGATATTTTTGCAATAAAGTTCCAAAGTTAATTCACTTCATAGTCATTCATCATTATTAAAGTCAAAATTTTTACGAGTCAAAATCACTCAAGTTTTTAGGCATTAAGTCATTGTCAATTTCACTTCTCATCATTCAGAATCATTGTTAAAAGTCAAAAAAACATTAATAACCACTAAAGTACTTACATTTAAATTGTCACTCGATAAAATACTTAATTAATTACTAAAAACTTTAGCTAGAGCACGCACATAATATTTGAACGAATTTAATTGTTCCTTCTTTCAAATGTTCCGTTACTATTTCAAAGACCTTTTCCCGAGGCAATAAAGGAAACTTTTCGCGAATTTTACTCGGACTGACACATTAGGTACTGTAGACTTTAACTCAAACTGGACTGGACTGCGAACTCATCTGACCACTGATGATCTCAACTAAAACCGCTGTATTTATATTATTCGATCCTCCCAAAATTTCTTTGTCCATAACAATTAAGATGATGTAATCTCCTTGAAATTTTTGTCATTTTTATTTGGTTAAAATCGAATAATTATGTCGCAATTTTCTGATTTATAGGGGACAACACATTGGTTCAAGAATGTGAGAACAACACAAAGAAACCGACACACGTGTGCCATAAATCTTCGATTTAATTATTATGGCCTTGCTTTTAATTAAGGAATTTTAGATGATGACACAGGCTTGATGACGAAATACCTAATATAATATTGAACGTTAATTTGTTTCCTTCTCAATTTATTGATACTGATTTGAAATACCGGAAATTCAGTTTTTGATTATTTGATTACATTTAATTTTTTACAGTAAAGCCATTGTAATTATCGGGAATATTTTTCCGGATCATTACATCTTGAATTGTCTATTTGAAATTCAAGGGCTCTAGTAGCTAATTAAGAGAATTTTAATAACTTGTGTAATGTTGACCTGGAACTCGAAAAATAATATTGTTCTGTTTAGGTATATGACCCTTAGTAAAAGATTTAATCAATAAAAGTAGTGAGTGGAAAGATTGGGTTTAGCATAATAAAGTATAATTTTGTAAACCTTAATAGTTGTTATTCTCTCATTTGCGAATAGACCCCCTCCACAATTTTATTGGTAGCCGCCCAAGAAAACAAACACCATCAATAAAACCGCTGGCCATTTACCATCTAACTAATTAAAAGAGTACTTGGGCGCGTTTTGTTACAATGCGTTTATTTAATTATAATTTATACCATAGTGCACTAATTAATTATTTGTTGGTTTATAAATATCTATATCACAAAATATAATAAATACTAATTAAATATTCATCCATTATAATCCAGTGCAAAAGTTAATTATTGTTTGTTTGTTTTTTAGTTTTACGTGCTACAATTATCTCTACAAAAAATATAACAAGCGCCATTATGAATCCATAAACAAAGAACAGCAAAACTTGCGCACAATCCAAAATCCTTACAGATTGAAAATTACCAGCTTGATTGTTGCACTTTGGCTTAATCAATGTGCGTCTTTTTAATCTCTCGTTTAGGCCACGTTCACGTTGAACCAATAACCTGAAATAAGAATCTTTAGTCACCCACTAAAAATTATTTGAAGTCTACATATTCAGCAATTATGACTTGCCAAGGTTTTAAAATGTTGCTATATCCAGACGATTTCGGTACCGACAAGTACAATTTGAACTAAAAATTATTTTAATAAACATTGCAACTAACTAAAGCAAAATGCTAAGTAAAATTACTTCCATGAATCCCGGTATTTCTTGTAACGAGCAAATATCGTAGTTGGTAAAGTTACGCAAAAAATACTTATAGGCAGGGGCAGTTTGAGCGAAAAATGCAAAATTGCCTCGTTGCACTTTTTCCAATCCTTCCGTCTCTTCAAAATAACTGTCAGGCCTGATTTTTTTCAAATAAAATTTACGTAAAATACCACTTTTAGGACTCTAAAAATTAAAAACGCACACGTAAATCTTTAAACCATTCAATTTTAAGGCCCATTTACCTGGAAAAAGTATTTGACGTAACGTGATTTGAAGCCTCCAACCACGAAACGACTTTCCATTAAGTCGTTTAAATTGTTAATGTTGCTTGTGGTTTGTAAGAGCACCAGAAGACCAGCGGAATAAGCAACATAAACGAACATAAACATTAATAAAAGTAGGAACAGTAAAAATCTGCCTGTTATTTTTTGCGAAATAGTTTCTGTCCCTGAAATTGTTTTATTTGTTGATTTATTTGATTATTTAATTTGTTGTTACCTTGTTGACTGATTGCTTCAATTGAAAGAAGGACCATGTCACTGATGGTTACTTTTTGAGAGTTTTTGTCCTAAAAATTTTATTTGCATAGAAGTTTTAAAAAGTTGGGCTGTAATTAATTTCCCAAAACTTACCATATTTTCTGTGGAACGTCTCTCCCAATTCAAGCTGACATACAAAAAGGCCATGAATAGAATCGTTATTAAAAAGGTAACAATCAACACCGAGTTCGATAAGGTTACGACGTAGATATTTTTAACGTAACTCAAGGAGGGCTTTTTGAGAAAAAATTGTAATCCTGAAAAATCTAGGGGCGCTAGAGCATGACAGAATTCAATCCGTTCTGACGTTAGATACATTGGAGCTAAAACATATGTATGGATTTTAAATCCAAGTCGGAAAATAAGTTGTGCCCTTACCTGATAAATCGACGTTCCCTTCAGCCAAATCTTTCATCATACCTTCCAGATTAAATTTATTAGTAGTTTTATTGAATTTACCATAACCATGATTATCATAAACTATAATTTGCATTGTGGCATTGAGACTTTGAAGCAAATTCTTAACAATAGGTGCTGTTTCTACGTAGTTATAATCGGTAGTTGTAGTTCTAAAATAAACCATTAATTAGTTGTATATAAAGGGGCGCCGACTACGTGGGTGCTTGGGGGCTCGAGCACCCATGAGACGTAAACAGTAAGCATATACATAAAAACTGATAATCCTAATGATGGTTTCATTTGGTCCGAATATAACTGGGGTTGTGATTTCGTAGTCTGAAGGTAATCAAATTACTCTGGTTCCTGGAAAAGTGGTAACTTTTGGACCTCGGTTTCCTGAAATGGTACTCCAAATGTCAAAATAGTTACCGGCCATCGCATGTCGGTTCTCTTGGTTTTAACTGTAATTTCTGTCAATCATTTTTTATTTTATATTTGCGTTCCCCAAGTAACCGGAATTTTCAGTAACCTGTCAAACGATACGGTTACTTTGGTTATATTCGTATCACCATAGCATTTTATAAACGTTTTTGGGCGTGGCACCCAATTAAATTTTCTCGCCACCGGCGGGCTGTTTACCCCCCCCCCCACATGTTGGTAGCCCTGATTCAAATTGAGCTTCCACATTACAATTTCGAATATTTTTGGAGCGCCACTGTACTAATCAACGGCAATGGGATATTTCTAATCTGGAAACATAGACAAAATTAGTCATGGAGCAATTCATCATGGAACAACACGTCAAAATTATCCAAACCTATATTATAAAAATGCGTGTGCGAAATTAAAACTGGAAAGTCCACAGGTTGCTGATGGAATGATAATCGATTAAAGATTTTAAATTGAAATTGGAAGATATCGAAACTGAAAAGGATATTTTTTCACCTTACCTGGTTTTACTTTCAAACTCCACTCAGCTGGCCAACTCTTCCAGGAAGTTCAAGTCCAATGCAAAAAAGTACAAACGAAACCGTCTTGATTGAAACTGGTCGCGGCAAGCGAAAAACCGCAGGTCTATTTTCTCGGACCACACAAAACAGACGAAGTGTTTTTGGCGACTGAATTTACTCGTTAGTGTAAGGAATTTGCAGTTATCCTTTTTCAGTACTAGGTCATGAGCGCGCTTCGCGCGCTTTTTTTTTAAATCAAGTCCATCAAAATAATTATAAAATGGAAAATATTTATTAGGTGTTGTACAAAAAACAGTATAATTTTTGATTTAAATGTTACGAAGGCGTAGAAGGAACATTTATTAAATTTTTATTTGCTGGTAGTGATGCACAATTAATTCCGTGTTAACTAACTCGGAATTAATCCCCTCCTATTTAATTCCGTATTAACTAACTCGGACTCAATTTCCTCTTAGTTAATTTCGTGTTAAGTAACAGGGAATTAATCTGCTCTTATTTTATTTCGTGTTAGGTAACTGGGAATTAATCCCCTCTTATTTAATTCCGTCTTATTTAATTCTGAGTTGATTATCACGGAATTAAATAAGAGCAGATTAATTCCCTGTTACTTAACACGAAATTAACTAAGAGGAAATTGATTCCGAGTTAGTTAATACGGAATTAAATAGCAGGGGATTAATTCCGAGTTAGTTAACACGGAATTAAATAGGAGGGGAATAATTCCGAATTATACATTAAATGTTAGAGTGAGATAAGTTGTATAGATGTTATTTTAGTGAAGAAATTTCAAATGCGATGGATGGAGTTGGTGACTAATTATTTTTGTATGGTATATCATAATGATTTTAAATCAATCACATTTCTTGAATGTACGGTGTGCATATGTCTACTTATCTCATTCTGTTTTATGGAACTCGTAGGTATACATTTTTCGAAGTGGTTTAATTAAAACAGAATAATCATAACCATAATCAAGGTGTTATTATAAACCGAGTTATTAACTATTTATGTGCTGTGGTATAATACGAGATATCGAGTCTTAAATTTTTTTTTACATTTTCATGAAGTTCCTTTTTTTGTATTAGGCCAGTTATTGAAGTCTACTCGATCAACATTTTACTGCAAACAATCGAAAAATTTTTTTTTTTTAAAGATTTTAAATTCAATTGCTCAATTATTCAACTTACATTTTTTGTTTGTACCTACGTGGTAGACATAAATTTTAAATGTGATCAAAGTAGTTGGTGAATTATTACTTTTGCGGTACATCGTAATGACTTTAAATCGATCTTATTTTTTTAATATACGGTGTGCATATGTCCAGTGCATCTTATTCTGTTTTATGGAACTCATAAGAATCCAAAGTTTAAAGAGTGCTAAGTCTTCATGCCGTTCTTCGTTATTTTCAATCATTTATGTTTATCGTGTTCAGGTTTTTGTCTTGTGATCTTCAAATATCTTGTAAATAAGTTGTAAAGATCTTCTGAAATCACCTATGACTGCAAAATTTCAAAATTAAATTATCAAAAAAACAATTCTTTAAAAACATGGTTTTTGACAACACTATTGCTTCTTTGTTTCCCTGAATAAACTTTCATAGAGTCCCACGAACGAACTCTGAAAAGCGCCACATAAAGTTGTCCGTGACTAAATACATCCTTTCTGGAGATCAATTGACAATTACTATCCTATCAAATGTTTGTCCTTGAGATTTGTTAATCGTCATTAATTGCAAAGGCTAATTTTATTTTAAAATTGCCTTCGTTTGAACGTAAAGGGGTAGACGTTTTCGCAGTAGAGTGTTATTCGATTTATGAATACTATTTCTCCATGTTTATCTACAGTCAATATCTCACAGCGTAACAGATTAACCCCAAGTTCTAGAACTAAAGGCCTTGTACCATTGCAAAGGCCTGCACTGATGCTTAGATTTCTAATAAGCATACAATAGAATTCGTTTTCAATCGTAATTCATGGAGCGGGAATTCGGCGGATTAAGCGAATTTAAATATTTTGGAAGAATAGCATCATTTAGATCACTATTATCACAGTTCTCGACACTATCTATACAGAAGCCCGATCCTCGGGCCAGGGAGAAGAGCTCCCCGATAGAACGAATGTTTTGTCTTTGCCAACGTAATCGAAAAGTAAATGAGAATGATAAAGACGAAAAATGTGTTCTCTCGAGGAGCTCTACTCCCTGGCTCGAGGATCGGCCCGCTGGTGTAGAGTTTTTCGGTCTTGACGTCCAACAGTTCGACAACTTATTCGTTTATTTCTTCGACATCAACATTTCTTGCAGAAAGTATTGCAGATTTGGTCAAGTCCCTGAATCTTCCTTCTTTTAGTATTGTTCGTCGAATTTTTGGTATGAGGAGCGAGGGGGTGAAGTATATGGCAAAAACCAAGGGTGACGTTAGGTGACCATTGGCGTTCAAATGTAGGGTGCCACCAGCTCACATTCCTTTCGAGTATTAGATTAAAATCGACGGACTTTACTTCTCCATAGATGTTTTCAACAATATCCGAATTATCAATACATTTCTCCGACAATTTTAGATTGCCGTTAGAATCATTTAGTGTTCGTTATCGCATAAAAATGCCTCAATTTCAGCAATAAGTGCTTAATGTTGGCCTTTAAGGCGGCAACCGTTCGAGGTTTGTCAACATAGACTTTGGATTTTAGAATGCCTAGAGAAAAAAATCCAGTGACGTTAGGTCGGCCAATTGTGGATTCTGAAGGACGATCGTTGACATCATAAATTGCACGGAGTGCACGAAACGTTTTCCGAATAGAACATTGGTTTTGATAATGATAATAATTTTTAACAATTCCGACGCGTTGCTCAATCGTGTAGCGCTCCATAATAAAATGCAGAGACTAATTGAATACGACTGCCAAAGATAGCACCTGTGTGACTATCGAATTTTTCATGGGCTATTGTCAAACATCGAGCGTTACTATTGGAAAACGCTATACATACCTAGATTCTTCTATTGGAACTCGAAAAAATATTAAACCACTTCCTTGCTCTGAGAAACAACCATCTACAGAGAAATATCTAATAGCACAGCTAATAGGCATATTGTCAGAGAATTGTCACATAAATAAAAAATTCACAGTCCTTCACAAAGATGCAACCGAGGAGAACATTGAAAATGCCGAAGCAAACTTCAACGCTAATGCTTGTGATTATTGTGAGCTTTGAGATCCGCTAAAATTCAACCCTTTCCAGATTTTCCAGAATTTTTCCGACCCAATCCAGAAATTTTCATGCGTTTTCCAGACGTTTCCAGAAATTTCCAGACTTTATCCAGATTTTTCTAGACTTAGCTAGAGTTTATTCAGACTTGTCTAAATTTCTCCAGACCTTATCAAGCCTTTTCCAGAGGTTTCCAGAAATTTCCAGACTTTCCCACACTTTATCCAGACTTTTCTAGACTTAGCTGGATTTTTCAGACTTTATCCAGACTTGTCTAGATTTCTCCAGACCTAATAGAGCCTTTTCCAGACGTTTCCAGAAATTTTCTGGCTTTTCAAGACTGTATCCAAACTTATCCAGACTTTTCCAGATTTAGCTGGGCTTTATCCAGACTTGTCTAGATTTCTCCAGACCTTATCCAGCCCTTTCCTGACCTCTCCGGACTTCTTCCAAACACTTTCCCTACTTCAAATACACTTTTTCAGACTTTATCCAGACTTGTCTGAATTACTCCAGACCTTATCAAGCCTTTTCTAGACGTTACCAGAAATTTCCAGGCTTTTCCAGACTTTTCTAGACTTAGCTAGATTTTTCCAGACTTTATCCAGACTTGTCTAGATTTCTCCAGACCTAATAGAGCCTTTTCCAGACGTTTCCAGACATTTTCTGGCTTTTTTCCAGACTTTATCCAAACTTATCCAGACTTTTCCAGACTTAGCTAGACTTTATCCAGACTTATCCAGACTTGTCTGAATTTCTCCAGACCTTATTAAGCCTTTTCCAGACGTTTCCAGACATTTTCTGGCTTTTTTCCAGACTTTATCCAAACTTATCCAGACTTTTCCAGGCTTAGCTAGACTTTATCCAGACTTATCCAGACTTGTCTTAGATTTCTCCAGACCTTATCCAGCCCTTTGACCTCTCCGGACTTCTTCCAAACACTTTCCCGACTTCAAATACACTTTTCCAGACCTTATCCAGACTTGTCTGAACTTCTTCAGACCTTATCCAGCCTTTTTCCGACGTTTCCAGAAATTTCCAGGCTTTTCCAGACTTTATCCAGACTTGGGTAGATTTTTCCAGACTTTATCCAGACTTGTCTAGATTTCTCCAGACCTAATAGAGCCTTTTCCAGACGTTTCCAGAAATTTTCTGGCTTTTCCAGACTTTATCCAAGCTTATCCAAACTTTTCCAGACTTGGCTAGACTTTATCCAGCCTTGTCCAGACTTTATCCAGACTTGTCTAGATTTCTCCAGACCTTATCCAGCCCTTTCCTGACCTCTCCGGACTTCTTCCAAACACTTACCCGACTTCAATTATGTATAAGTAATTGCCTATCTATGAGTCAGCACTTAATGTATGCAAAAGCGGTGACAACCTTGAACTAACTAACATAAATAACATATCGATTTTATATTCAGATTCACAGCCTCATTTGCATAATTAAAGCGGTGACAACCTTGAACTAACATCTCGATTTTATAGTCAGATTTAACGCGCACATTCTTAAAAGCCAAATTAAGCAAAGCCGTATCAATTCTTAGGCATATACAGTGTGATTTTTTAAGTGTGCAACATATGGGGATTTTTTTTAGTAATAGCACAACGCAAATACAAACAAGGCCAAAAGTTGGTGCATGTCTGATAATCATATTAGGTGCACTTAGAATGGTTGCAAGTCCAACAGCATACAGGGTAGCTCAAACAATATCAAAGCTGGTACTGTAAAGTACCTTTATTTTAGGAAATTCAGCAAAATGTTATAGAGAAAAGTTGTTTGGAATTAAAAGTTATGCCTAAATACCAAAACATAGCCTCCTAAGATTTTTTTTATTTTCTTTCGAAAAAAATCTATAATTTCTATATTTTTTTTATTTTTTATTTCCGCCCTTAAGACTTTCAAAAATTAATTAAAATCAAATCAGTTTTACATAACTTTGTTCAAATTCAAGCATATTTTTTTTTTAACAAGTTAAAACATTACGAATGATAATAGCCATATTAAAAAAACTCTCCTTAAAGTGCAAAAGTTTTATTTTATATAAGTAAATATTAGTAGAATTTTGATATTTTTTGAGCCACCCTGTATGCTGTTTGACTTGCAACAATTCTAAGTGCACCTAATATGATTATAAGACATGCACCAACTTTTGGCCTTGTTTGTATTTTGATTGTGCTATTACTAAAAAAAAATCCCATATGTTGCACACTTAAGTAATGACACTGTATATGACATATAGCACGCGCAATTCAATTGGAATTTAAAAAAAAAAAAATAATAAAGAGAAAAAAAAACGAATCAATTTCCATTCCCAAATAGTATTTGACATCCTAAATACTCAATTTAACCTACAACTATACAGGGCGCGTAGGCGAGACTGAACAGGGCGATCGAGGAAGAATACATTTCGTGCTCTGCTTGAATTTTTTGTTGACGCAAAATCCACAATTTGGATTGCGGTCCAAAAATTCGAGCAAACTCAATTCGTAGCGAATATCAAAACCCTCAGCATGCTCGTAGAGGTCGATTTTGCGTCACCAAAAAAAAAGTAAAGTACGAAATGTATTCTGCCTCAATCGCCCATTTTCATAATAGAATTGGATAATTTTGACGCGTTCTTTCGTGGTGTATTGCTCCATGACTAGTTTTGTCCATAGCCGTTTTCTCGCGTCCACTTTTTTCAAAACAGGTTTGAAACGGGCAATGGTAACACCATTGCCGTTTCAAAAAATGTTTCAAACCAATGTCAAAAAAGTGGCCGCGAGAAAACGGCTCATGTTTCTAGATTAGAAATATCCCATTGTCGTTGATAAATACAGTGGCGTTCCAAAAATATTTGCGATTGTAATGTGGAAACCTAATTTGAATCACCCTTTATATATAGGTATTATTGAACCAAAATGCTTACATTATATCATCCAAATTGTGGTTTATAATAGTTTTATCTCCAAAAATTACTGCAGCAAATTTAAAGCTTCGCCCCTTCAAATTGCGTCGGGTATAGGAAATTGACGTTTTCTTAATGGGTTGAAGGCCTTCACTTACAGTCCAAGCGTTATAATGTTTTTTTACTGAAACGATTAAAAATTACTAAAAAGGGACTTGACACAAATTGTATTTCTTTTCACCAAATTCAGCCTGATTAGCAACTTTATAAATGTCAATTAAAGCCGCAGTTTTGCTGCTTGTGTTGATCGCAGCAACAATTACTTCGCTCATTGGTAAAATTTGATAAACTTTTAATTGTCGTAATAAAGATTCTTGGTTTTTTGGTGTTGTTATTATCAAATGTTTGAATTTTAATCGAAACATGCCATAATCGTTTATCTAGAAGAATTCAGCATTACCTACATAGTTTAATACTCCCTTGTTTTATTAATTTTTTATGGTTTTTTGGACTTTCTGTATTTGTCTACCTCTTTTAAATACAAATTTATATCACAATCAATCTCATCTGCAACCAACCAACTTATCTTGTCAATTTCTTTCAAGGTTTTCACTGATTTTATAAAATTTACCCTATTCGAACCATTTCTAGTGAAATCAAAGCGTTCTTCTGCAATATTTAATTTTGATTGAATTGAATTTTTAATCAAAAATACACTTACTTTTAGTTAGGCAGCCAAAAATATTGAAAATGTCGCATTTTTCTTGCCGAAAAAAATCCAAAACAAATTGCTGCTGTATGTTTAAATAACCCTTGCAAGTTAGTATAAAAAATCCACAGAATACAGCAATAATTATTGGATTCATTTTTGCTGCAATAATGCCACACTGACACGCAAAATGGACCTTTTATAATAAAGAACCGTGACATTTGATGAGAAAAATCCATGCAATTTCTGTATAAATCTTAAATGTAATGAGGGCTTTTGAGATACATCGCTGACATATTTTGATTAGTTTAACCATACATTTTGTAATTATTGTGCAACTAGACAGAAAAAATGAAACTCTACAAATACTTCATATTAGGCATGTATTTTTATCTCTTAATACATTTATGGAGAAATCTCTCAAACTAACATTCTTTTCTATACCTTTTCGTCACACGAATATGCATATAGCAAACAATCAAATCAAAATACAATTACAATAAAAAACTGATAAAAAAAACACAAAATAAAAAAATCCTAGAAAAAAAAAACAAACAGAGAACTTATATCCTAATAATTTGTTGTAACAAATTTGGTGGCACTATATTCTCAACTTTTTCATAAAGATAGAATAAGGGCAAAGAGATCCAATTAACTACCGATTTGGCAAAAACGCCCATCAGGTCGGGATACTGATGGGTTAAGAGAGCAAGTAACGCCGTAAAAGAACACAAGCCTGCCGTAAAAATTATAAAAAATGGCAGTTCTTTCTTTGGGTAAACTGAAACTTCGTGAAACGCTGGCAATAGCTCCCTATCGGCACATTCTGTACAAGTGGGATAAGGATAAAACAAGTGACCTCTTTCCAGTGGATAAGGAAGCATTCTGAATGTGCCTTCCCAAGTACAATGTAACAAATTTAGGGCTCCGTCAATGGCTTTCCAATGTGACAAATGAAAGAAACTGTATGACAACGCTTCAGAGTCTCCCCTCTTGAGAATATGCTCGGGTGGCAAGATGAGCGGCTTCATTTCTAATAAATACTTTGGTACGTGTGGATTGAATTCTACTGCTCGGTGGATCGCTTCCACTGCTTGTAGTTCCGCGTTATTGAGGCCCCTTTTGCTCGCAATGTCTGGTGAAAATTTATCTGCCACGCTTCTGCAAAAGAAAAAATGAAAAGTGAAAGATCACAAAGTTATAAGAGAGATATTGATTCAACGAATACTTGATGGTAATACATCATAGGCAAAAAAAAAAATTAAATGAAATTCTAGCATGTTTGACAACACAGTGCAATATTTTTTTTTTTGTCTTCTGTCACCATTTTTCAATAAATTATGGTCTAATGCAAAACTTTAACTCTGATAGTGTACACACAAAAATATCAAAATATCTACCTGGCTTTCAACAAAGCTGCTGTATAACATATTGTAGCAGACTTTGGTAAGGAAATGTCATCATATTTCGCCAAAACCGCCTGAACATCGGCATAAGCTTGCATCTGCAACAGTACCTCGATAAGATTCTCATGTATGTTGAGCACATTCATTATCGGTGGTACTTCTTTAGTCAAATCTCTGAACATTTTCACAGCCTCTTTAAGTTTCCCCAGCCTTCTACAACACATTGCTAAACGCCTTTTAATGTATATCAAGACATTTGTATCTCTACAATAAAAATTAAAAAATAAAATAATTCAGTCTCAAAAAAGATTAACAAACCTTCTGTGTTGTGCCTCCATGAGCGCTCCCTGGTGCAGAAGAGCCTGCGACTTTTTATAATTCGATTCTGCGACTTTGTATGCTTGCTTGAGTATCTTTTCAGCCTCCGTAATGGTGGTCGCTTCTTCTTCAGCTAATAAAATATATGCAGTAGCACAATCTGGATTTTTTTCAATAGCACTATGAGCTGCTTTCAGTCTTACTTGAGGATTTCTTTCTCGCCAAGCTGTCTGCATTATTTCATATTCGGCTTTACCTAAAGATTATTCAAAATTGTTATAAATTCTATTCACAATAATGATCCATATGATGGTGTGACAACTTTTCGATTAATGATTTCTATCAATTGTTGAATCAAGAATTAAAATCTATCTTTATCATCATAAGCAGTAGTTCTTACCAGCATCAGCTTCACAAGTAAAAAAAGTCTGATGATCTTGCGCCGACAAATTCATATCGTAATACGTCAAAGGTTCTTTATTGGTGGCCCAGTAGAATCTTTGGTACTCCGCTCCCCGATACAAACTTAGTGGATTCCGCCATACTTTGCACTCGGGCACTGGCGACTGGGCTGGCTGAGAGCTATTTGCAGATGGAGAGTCGTCTCTATAATCCCCACTGATCCAAGGGCTAATGTGATTAATCGAGACCTACAAGACCATTTACCTGTTATTACCAAGAAATTAGTCTAATAATTTAATCAAATACAGTTAAGATGAATTATGCACTGAGAAAATTGACAACAAAAATTTGCTTATGTTTGGCTGAGAGCAAACATGTTTTTCTGAAATTGAAAAATGGCCAGCAACTTTTAAAGTTAGCTTCTGGAATTTCATAGTAATTCCAGAAGTTAAGTTTTAGTTTTTTGTCAAAATAGTTTTATAATAACCACCCAGTCCTAGCAACCCTTGAACTTAACTTTGATCTTTATCCAGAGACATAAGGAAATTTTTCTCATTCTTATTTTTTTCATTTTAATTTTGGTTTATTCCGAGATTTTCTTTATGTTTTTCATCTAACTAATCTAACCTAAACTGTTTGTAATACTGTCTGTCAAGGAAAGAAAAATTTTGTTTAGTAACATTTATATACCTCGTCAATCTTCAGTGGACATCTTTGAAGCCTAAAATCAATCGAGGAAGTTTCAAGCAAGATCAATTGTGATAGGATCTGTTTGTGTGGTGACTTTAATCTTCCTGAAATTAAGTGGCTGTATGATGATGACTAGGGGTGTCTCAGTATTGAATGGTATTTCGCACCTGTAATTGTTGATTTTGTAGCCTACTTAAACTTATTTCGAAGGAATAATATTCCAAATGCTCGGGTATTTGTGCTGGACCTTGTTTTTTATAACTCTTAAAATGTAATGATTGATATTTGTAATAGTCCACTATTACCAATGACAGACTACAAAGGACCACGCACAAATCTTATGAGAAAAAATAAATTTCACGATTGTCATGAAATTGAAATACGTTATGCTTCTCGACCTCCTGAACGTAAGTTCTCGTAGGCCCAAAAAGATCCTAATGATCAGTTTCGGAGATACAGGACCGATAAAAAAAAGTAGTATAAGAAAAATCTCCAGAATCTGCTGGTACATCAATTTAATTCATAACCAAAAATTACATATTTTTGGCATTTTTCGACAAGTTTTCAACCTTCAAAACTTCAGATGACATAACTTTGGCATTTTTCCACCCGTTTTTAACCAAGAATATGTCATTGCCTGAAATGTTTATTTTTTGTCAAAATTTTGTATGTTAACCTGGCCCTGTATCTCTGAAACTAATCATAGGATCTTTTTGTGCCTACGAAGACTTACGTTCAGGATGTCAAGAAGCATTACATATTTCAATTTCATGACAATCGTGAAATTTATTTTTTCTCATAAGATCCGTGCGCGGTCCTTTCTAGGAATACATTTTGATTGGGATCTGGAATAGAGGGAACACTTGAATAAAATTACAAAGAAGTTATCATCAGTAATATTTGCTCTGAGAACTGTCACCATCGAACTGTATAACATTTCAATCAGTAAGGAAGTTTATCATGGTCTCTTTGAATCCAGTTTAAGATATTGCATTATTTTTTGGGGATTTATGACTTGTGGCCATTTGCATCGACCATTTTGAGGAAGCCCTAGTGATAAGTATTAAGTATTCCTTAAAATAACATTTTATTTTTTTTTTTTTTTTTTATTTATTCCATTATTCAACAACATATAATACACAGCAAGAAGATGATGATGAAACAATATGCATATAATGGACGTGAGCGTCTGTGTGAATGCATATTGGGCTCATCAATAAATTTTACAATTACATTAACCTATAACATAAAAAAAAAAAAAAAATACATTGACACATAATACCAATAAAGGCCGAGAAGAAAAAAAAGAGAAAAAATTGAAAAAAAACAAATATGTTTTACTGTAATTTAATGAAGCGTTTAATGGTATTTGTGTTATCCCTAATCCATACGTGTAACTGTTTCTTAATCCTACTATATTTTCTGTTTTTATATTGTTCTGGTAACATATTCAATAATTTGGGTGCTATATAAGTAATACATCTTTGTGTCGCACTATAATGGGTAATGGGCAATATAATATTATGATTTGCATTTGCTCTTGTTTGAATGCCATGACTGATAAAATTCTGAAAGTTTTTGCTGGAAATTGAAAATCTTAGGACATTTTTGATATATAGTTGAGCAACAGTGAAAACGCCAGACTCCATGAACAATAGGTCAGATGGGAATTGCTTATGTTTAAACAAAATAACTTTCAATATATATTTTTGTACAATGGTAATGTTCTTCAAAACATCATTGTAAGCGGAACCCCAGCATATTATGCCATAGCTCAAGCAGGATTCAGCTAATGCTTTGTACACTCTTATGATTGTTTTTTTATCTAGTATATTACGTAATTCATAAAATTTGTATATGAGTTTTTTTAGTTTGTTTTTAGCGTAATCAGTATGATGCTGCCATTTCAAGTGATTATCAAAGTAAACACCCAAATATTTAATTTTATTTGCTGATTTGATGTTATCAGAACATGTACAGTCGTTTTTCATATTACAATCAGTGGTGTGCACCCTAAGTACATGCCTGTTTGGTAACCCCCTCGCGCTCATTGAAAAACACATGAAGTTAGTTTTTTTAACATTCACTGTGAGGGAATTCATGTCCATCCATGCCCGAACACTGCACATTGCACTTTCAGCTCTCGAAAAGGTTTCGTCCCAACAAACCCCTTTACATAAAAGAACCGTGTCATCCGCGAAACATACTACTTTTACTTCAGGGATTACATGTGAAAGACTATTAATATATATTAAGAATAGTATGGGTCCAAGCACTGTACCCTGTGGAACACCGCACTTTAGATCTATAAGTGAACTTGAAACCGCATCAAGATTAACTCTCTGAGTCCTATTTGTTAGATACGACTCGAATAGCTCAAGCACTCTGCCTCTTATACCACTGTTATATAATTTGTTCAATAAAGTGCGATGATCCACAGTATCGAACGCTTTGGTAAGGTCCAGAAAAACAGCGAGAGGCTTCCAACCATTATCGAAACAATCTACAATGAAAGTGGTGACTTCATTCAAGGCATCATCTGTACCAACCCCCCCCCCGTGAAACCATACTGTGACTCTGACAAAACTTTATTTACATACAAAAAATTGCATAATCGCTTTTTAATGCATTTCTCAATAATTTTACAGATGGGGCTAGTGAGTGCAATGGGTCTATAGTTGCCCGGATCGGTTTTATCACCTCCTTTATGTAGTGGGACAATCACTGCCCTTTTGAAAATATCTGGAAAAATACCATTAACATATATCAAATTCACAATATGTACAAGGGGGGAAAGCAGAACCCTAAAATTTGATTTTACAATCTGGTTAGAGACGCCAAAATCATCAGCAGAAGACCATGGCTTCAGTGATGTCACAGCATTTATAATTTCGTCCTCATTAACAGGGTGCAAAAACATGGAAGGAAACTGCCGCTGTCTAACCACACCACCTGGAACATTTTTTGGCTTAGTTATTTTACTGGCCAGCTTAGCACCTACAGAACTAAAGAACACATTCAATTCATTTGCTACCTGCCCCTGATCATAGACTTCTTGATTATTGCCATTCCTAATACATGGAATATTAGTTTTTATGTTACAGTCATTTGTAGCTTGTTTTATTACTTCCCAAGTTTTTCTCGGATCACCACTTGCAACCTCCAATCTATGTTTATAGTAATTAGCTTTTGTATTTCTAATAAGTTTGGTTAACATATTTCTATAGTTTCTATAATTAATACGGACCGTTTCATCTAATGGATTACGGACACAGAGTTTATATAATTTATCTCTGTTTCTGATGGAAGCAAGTAAGCCTGCAGTAATCCATGGTTTGAGACGATATTTTTTATTTGAGATTGTTTTCACATTTGTTGCAGCAAATATATGTTTCTTTAAGGTATTCATAAAAATTTCAAGGCAGTATTGGGATCATGACATAACAAAATTTTTTCCCAATTTTGGGTTTGAAGTGAATTTTTAACTTGTTCGTAGTCAACCTTACTAAAAGACCTATTGTTCTTTTGTTGAGCATAGGAATTTACTTTATTTGTCAAGTTAACATTAAACAATAAGGAATGATGATCCGAAACAGAACTGGTTAGTATTATCAGGTTACTTTTATATTTTGTTTTGCTCTTCATGAATATATGGTCTATACATGTCTTACTACACCCATCAATCCTAGTAGGTTTATCAACTTTAGAAATATAACCATAGCTATTGAGACAACTAACATATTCATTGACAATCATTGACTTAGAATTCAATAAATTAAAATTTATGTCACCGACAAAAAGCTCAATATCACAAGCAGTATAATGAGCTTGTCCAAAGAGACCTATCAGAGAGGGGATATAATCAACTTCTTTAAGGGAAGGAGACCTATAATGGGAAATCACCCCTATACTAGTATTGTCCTTAGTGAGTGTAACTCTCAAGAATTTATAGTCATTTATTTCAATTACATTGCTCGTTTTTACTATTGCGCTCTTACAATAAATCAAACTGCCATCACACTTGTTAATTTTGCTTTCATTATAAAATAAATCATAGTCTTTAATACGAAAGTTTAATACATTATGGAGAATGTTGGTCTCTGACAACACAATTAAATCGAAATGACTGTTCAGTGATTCAAGAAAAATTACAAGGTTATCAAAATTCTTATTAAGACTCCTAATGTTAACATGCAATAAATTAAAATTTTGCGTTGAGGCTTTAAAAAAATTTATGTTATCCAATGTATCGCATACTCTAATGCTACTGCAACCAGTATTATAATCGTCCAATATAGAATTAAAGTCCATAACGAAAAAAAGAAAGACATACCTATATCCTACTATTTTACTGCCAAGTTTATGATTCTGTTCAATCGCCTTGCTTTATTTTCTCAATATCTTCCATGCTATTGATTCTTAAAACTGGATCATTCTCTTTCTTCCTCACAAATATTTTTCCATCCTTAGCCCAGATAAATTTAAACCCATGTCCATTGAGAGTTCTAGCTGACATAAACAACTCTTTGGTTTCCTTGGGCATATCATCATTTAGATA